TATGTATCTACTTTTTTGTCTATCTACCAATCAATATATCTTCCTCTCTACCTCTCTGTCTGTCGGTCTGTCTGTATGTATGTATGTTTATCTACCTACCAATCAATTTACCTATCTATCTATCTATCTATCTATCTATCTATCTATCAGATACGTAGTCATACTTTTATCATTCAGAAAACCTGGCCAAGGTGGAGTTTATTGGTTCATTGGGAACCATCCTCTTTCTATTGGGACCCTTTGAAGACTTCTTAGAGCCCAGCAAAAAATTCCTCATAGTTATCTAATGGGAACTGACAATAGTCGATGAGGCATGCCCTTTCTGCTGGCTGATTACCAATGCAACATTCACTTCAACAAATGCAGGCATTAAGTGCCTGCTATGTTGCACTGGGGATGCAAAGGTAAAACAACAAAACAAAACTGCTATGTATTTGGAAATGCTTTTATTTGAGTGTGTATTTAAATTTTTAAAATATTTTAATACATTAAAATGCCACCACTCTTGCCCTCAAAAATTTTATGTTATTCTAAGGGTAAAGGGGTCAGCTTGTTCTGGTGGATAGAGATCTGTCCTTGAAGCAAGAAATAATAATAACAATAGCAAGTATTTACATAGAACTTTAAGATTTACAAAGTATTTTTCAGATATTATCTCATTTGATTCCCATAATGACACTGAAAGGTAGATACTATTATTATCATTTTACAAATTAGGACATTGTGTCTGAGAGATGGTAAGTAATTTACCCAGAATCACACAGGTAGTAAGTGACAGAGACAAGATTTGAACCCATGTCCTCATATTCCAAAGCCAGAATTCTTTCCACTGTATCATTTTGTCTGTCTTGAAAGAGTTTGTCAGGGTCTGACCAGTGAGGAAACTCATGATAAATGGAGACTGATCGTATCCATGAGAGCTGTGGACAAGAAAGAAATTTTTATTCTTTCAGTCACTTGCTACCATGACTTTTTGACCACCTCTACTGCACTTATCTGACCAGGAGCCTCTGGGAGAAGACATCTTCAAAGGCTCCATCACATGGACATTCTAATTAGAATATGGAAGCCAATTTAGTCAACAAGTTTCTCTTTACTTGGAACTCCCTCTGTCCTATATGACTAATGATTTCGTGCTGGATTTGGAGTCAGAGGACCTGGGTTCAAATCCTGTCTCTGCAACTTCCTTTGTGACCTTGGGAAAAGTCATTTAACCTCTCTGGAGGCCTTTTCTCATCTGTAAAATGAGGAAGTTGAGCTAAATGGGCTAAGATCCCTTCAAACTCAAAATCTGTGATCCTCTGATCCTATTTATTTTTCAAATCTCTGTCATTCAGATCTATAGTTTAAGAGAAAATGCCTTTCTCCTACCCTTCTCTCCCAGGACCCTCATACCTATCCATTGACATCCTTGCGTCCCAATTCATCCACCTCCTTAACTCCTATGGCTACAATCTCTGCTCTAGATTAGATACCCAGAAGGGTGTTACCCATGAGATCTTACCATCACCAGTAACTATTCCACATCCTGAATATTGAAATTCACCTCTTTGAACACAGTCTTCTGCCCTTCCCTCCTACTTCCCCTAACCAACTGAAAAAGAAAACCCTTGTAACAAATACACACAATCCAGCAAAACAAATTTCCACATTGGCCATGTCTTAAATGAATGTCTTATTCTGCATCTTGAATCTGTCGCCTCTCTCTCAGGAAGTAGGTAGCATGCTTCATCACTGGTCTTCAAGAATGATGGTTGGGATGATAGCATTGATCAGAATTCCTAGGCTTTTAAAAGTTCTTTTCCCTTGGTTCTGTACACTATATTTGACATCAGTTCATGCAGGTCTTCCCAGGGTTCTCTGAAACTGTCCCTTTCATGATTTCATTGCATTTATATGCCATAATTTGTTCAGCCATTCCTTATTTGATGGATACTTCCTTAATTTCTAGTGCTTTGCCACTACAAAGAGGGCAACTATAAATAGTTTGTACCTTTTCCTCATTCTCTGATCTCTTTGGGGAACCACTGTGTCATTCCTCATGAACCACATTATCTTCTCCAGTCATGAGATCATAGGTTCATAGACTTAAAGCTAGGGATACCTCAGAGGCCAAGTCCCACAATCTTTTCAAGTTATCTACATCCATTTCTTCCTTCTAGGCTCACTTCTCAACCCTCTGACTAGCCATTTTAACAGGGCGCCTTCCCGATGTAAACAGCCAGCTTGGCCAGCCATACTGGCTGGTGGCTCCTATAGAATTCATAGATACCCCTAATTAGGGCTTATAGCCTGCTTTTGGAGCCATGGTTTGTATCTAACAGGACAGAAGAGACTAGGGATAGGGCAGATTTAAAGATTAGACAAACCCAGTGGGGTAAGTCAGGAAAGTAGAACGTGAATAGGGGAGGAAGCAGGAGTGCACTATTGGGATTATAGAATCTGAGTTCAAACCTTGGCTTTACCATATGATCTGTGTGACCTTGGCACCAGTCATTTATTTTTCTCTCTCCGTTTATAAACTGAAATGGAAGGACTAGATAGTCCTTCCCATCTCTCAATCTATGATCCTATCACTATAAGGTCTCAGCAACAAGAGGACAAGAGAAAGTTAAAGCACCCAAGTGGTTAACATCAAGTAGGTCAGGCAATGAGCCACAAGGAGATAGCCCAGCTACTGTTAAGTCTTTTTCAGTCATATCTGACTCTTTGTGATCCCATTTGGGGTTTTCTTGGCAGAGATAACTGGAATGGTTTGACATTTCCTTCTCCAGCTCATTTTACAGATGAAGAACTGGGGCAAACGGGGTTGAATGACTTGCCCAGGGTCACACAGCTAGGAAGTGTCTGAGGCCAGATTTGAACTCATGAAGTTGAGTCTTCCTGACTCCAGGCCCAACACTCTATCCACTGTGTCACCTAGCTACCCAGCAGATATGCACCATCTCATAGGAGCAGAGTCTGGCAGTAGGCTATTGATAACGGTTTAGACTAACATCCTTTATCGAAGCCTGACAGTGAGTGACAAGCCTTTATTGAGTGTTTAATAGTGAGAATTCAGCCTTGGATGTCTGAGGAGCAATCTCTGGGAGAATGAGAAAGATAAAAACAAAGCCCTCTACCTTGGGGGAACTAGATATGAGACTAGGAAGGAATTCAGGTAGAGGGGAAAATAAAGACAGGAACCAATTATGGATTCATGAAATCTGGAGCTAGAACAGACCTTGGAAGATCATAGAACCACCTTCCATTCTAGATGAAGAAATGACTTAGAGGGGGCACGTGACTTGTCCGTGCTTATACAAGTACTAAGTATGAGCCACAATTTGAATCCAGGTTCTCTGATACTAAACCGCTATTCTTTCCACCACATCACTAGAACTGGGATACACTAGAACTAGAATAGGGCAGGTACTTGTATATGATCAGAGATGCAGCATCTTAGCCAAAAGGAAAGGTGTCCTGGAGCCCCCAACTTTCTCCATTTTTTTATCATAAATTTTGTTGTAAACAATGCTTCACCATTAGCCGCATTTCTTCATAATTGTGTTACCCCTTAGATGTTTTGGAGTCACAGAAAAAAATAAGGCAAGAGGCCAGTTACTAGAACCGTGATGGTTTAAGGTCAGAGTAGGGCCACAGCAAAGTGCCATGTGGTACTACACTGCTAAGCTATGGTTCATTATATTTCCCTGCACAGGGGCCAGGTCTGTCCCAGTGTATGAGACTAAACAAATTGCTTCTATACTTCCTGATCCTGCTGAAGGGCCACTGGTATCATTGAACATGTTTACTTTCCTACATTAACTCTATCAACATGGAGCAATTGTAATACTCTCCACCTTGACAGAGCTTTTGTGAACAAAAGCTTTTGTGAACAAAAGCTGTTTAACAGTCTGAACTATGACAAGTGCCTGGGATTTTTTAAAGATCTCCCTCTCCCTAAGAAAGCAGTCCTTGGATTGAGTTTAAAAGCCTTTCTGAAAAGGAAGAGAGTGAGCAATAATAGATGGACAGCACCAAGTGCTGTGCTGGCACCCATGAAATATAAAAAGACCTATAGAAAGTCCCCAGTACCCTTGGTCGGTCTCCTCTGGGGAAGGGATTTGTGGGAGAATATGGGACAAGAATAACAGAAGATAAGGTGTGGATGGACTGTGGTCCTCACTGATGGAAAGAATTTCCATTTCAAGGGGATCATTGATCTGTTGAAGTGTTGAAGTTATGAGTCAACCCATTCAAAGACGGCTGCCTTTGGGGAGTCATTCAATGAAGCAGTTATGTCATCCTCACTCTCACATATCTTTATGAGTATAATGATATGGATCACAAAAGAGTGAACTGGCATCCGTCCTTCTCAGAGGACGATTGCCAACAACTTAATCTCTCAGATTAAAGACTAACTCTTTAGCCTGATGTCCAAAACCCTACACTGCCTGACTCTAACCTACCTTTCCAGACTTATTCCATATTACTTTTCTCTCTCAACACCCTATATCCTAGTAAAATTGAACTTCTTTCTCTTACCTGAAATTGGCATATCATAATGATATTACAATATGCCTCTATGAGAACATATTTACACTCAGTCTCCAGGTACCCATCCATCCTTTCTCATCTTTGACTCTCAGAATCAGAATTGGACATCTTCCTTCAGCTCAGTTGTCACTTTCTCTGTGAAAGTGTTCCCTCTGGTGTTCTTTCCATACTCAGATATCCCTAGCACCTTTAATCTGAGCTCGCCTCTGTCCTCTTCACTTTCTACCCTATATTACACCTATCTCTGTTCATATGATATCCCTCCTTTAGACCATAAGCTCCTTGAGGATGGGGTCCATTTTCTATGTGTATTTCTATCCCCAGGGTTTGCCAAAGTGCCTTTCCAATAGTAGATAATATCTGTTGGAATGAATTGAATTGAAATTGTATTTGCATTTCAGATCATCCTAATTCTCACATAACTACATGATGAAGGTTTTTGGTCTTGCCCTCTTTCCTAGATGATGCATACTTGCTACAGGGACTTAATATAGAGGAGCTATATCCTGAGACCTCTAGCTTCATTACCTATGATGGGTCGATGACTATCCCGCCCTGTTATGAGACGGCAAGTTGGATAATAATGAACAAACCAGTCTACATAACCAGGATGCAGGTGAGTAGCTCTGTGGCCTCTGAGAAAAAGAGGATTTGGTAGGAATATTGGCCCAGCCTTTTGAAGTGATCTGAATTTGAAATGCTTTCATCATTTTGCCCTAGAGAAGAACAGAGTAGCATCATTTGAGTCTAAGAGCATCACCCTACATGCTAGAAAGGGAGTATATGGTGTGAAGAAAAGTACTGAAGGCATCATTAATACCTGGATTCTAGCTACAATCCAGCAATCTTCTGGCTTTGTAACCTTGAATAAGTCATTTTGCTTCCTTGAGACTATCCCCTTCCATGAAATAAGGGTTACAGTAGATCAGGTCTAAAGACCCGTCGAGATGGGATATTCTATCATTCTATGTTTCTAAGTATAACATGGGCCCCATTCTCGGAAGGCCAGATCTGTTATATTTATACCCTCCCCTCAAGGTACTTCATACCCTAAGGAGGTTGAGAGGAGGTGTCTCTCAGTCTTCCAACTCTGCCATTGGCTAAGCCTCCACCTATCGTTTTACCTCAATTTTATGAGCCTAGTGAAGACCACTCCAGTTCCTTTTGACCAATTACAGCAGATTAACTTTTACAAAGAAAGATTTATTTCAAAGCTATAGCTAGAAAAATGTGCAAATATATAAACATTTCCTTCCAATTCCTGGGGAGCATAATCCTTCCTACACCACCTTAGTCTCTGGGAAAGGCAATGAAATTAGGTTCACAGTTTAACTCAGTTCCTATATAGGATTAGTCCCACCGAGTTTAAGTCCAAAGCCCCAGTGGGATAACAACCAGGACCATTGCTCTTCAAAGCTTTCCACTGGGCTGACTACAACATCTGATCTAGAATCCTGGGCACCAAGATCCCCATGGCTTAGGCTCTTAGACTGGGACTCCTCTCTCTCTGCCCCTCAAACTATAAAAGACAAATAGAACAGACCAAAGCCCCAGGACTTGGGGCATTAAGGTCTAAGGTGAGGAGCAGAAGGCCCTCAGACCCTTCCTGCTCTCCATAGCAAGATATCACCTGCTATGACTAAAGGAATCCTTTAGCCTTAGATATGTCAGAAAGAGCAACTGTGAATACAGTCAGGCAGGTTTGAAAATGCAGATATTTCTGGCCACTGAACCAATTGAGCGCTCCCAGCAACATTATAGTTTAACCTAAAATGCCCACACACATACCACATAGCTGCCTCTGTACATAAGAGACATAACTGGACAGATAACATAACTGAATTCATGTCAAGGCCTTATCTAAGGGGATTTTTGCCACCATCCTCACTTTCTAACCATCTGTGACTCCACTCCTCTTTGCTTTGCCTTGTTCTTTCCTCTGAATATTAAATGGATGGATTACTAGTATTTCATAGTTGAGCATTCTTAGGTCTTCCTCCCTGAACAAACCAATGCCGGGCACTACAATGGGCCACGTGTTTACCAGTTGCTTGCTTTCTCACAGATGCACTCTTTACGACTGCTCAGCCAGAATCAACCCTCGCAGATCTTTCTGAGCATGAGTGACAACTTCCGGCCTGTTCAGCCACTCAATAACCGCTGCATCCGCACCAACATCAACTTTAGTTTACAGGGGAAGGACTGTCCAAATAACAGAGCCCAGAAGCTACAATATAGAGGTGAGCATGACTGCCCTAGAGACCCCCAGGACTTGGCCCACCCTGCTGAGCTCTAAGCCATGTCCATCTTTCTGTACTGCCCTTCTATAATGTGGCCCTGTGTTATTGTTAACCATAAACCTGTTTGAAGGACAACCCATGGGAACATGGCATAGAGGACACACTAGGATCTGGAGAACAGCATTGATTAAGGCTATATGGATATACAGAGGGTAAAGCCTAGCCTAGAGATATAAGTATATCACCAGTAACCTGGGGTCAATAGATAGATTTCCCAGCAACTCAGACCCTTACTGCTCCCTCTCTAATGCAAAAAGTAAATTTTCCACTTCTCTTCTGCCTGAGTCATCAAGCAGCAAACTTTCCTCAGGGGATGCCCACTTTGATGACACCTGAGTTAGGTCCTTCCGTGGCTCTATGATCCCATCAAGACGGTCACTCATTCTACCTCCGTGACAGATTGCGACCCATCCATCCCTTCTCATCCTATGGGATTCTGGTTCATGTTGTTCCATAAGTCCTTCATACAGACTTGACCTAATGTGTTATAGACCTTACTCTGGACCTTTTACTATATCATGGACTTCGGTCTAAGAGGACAGAAGGATAGAAGGCCAGCCTTGGAGTCGAGGAAAACATGAATTTAAGTCTCAATTCTAACACATCTTGAAGGTGTGACCCTAGGCAAGGCACTTGACCTTGCTATGCTTTATGTAGTTCTCTAAGACTATGAGCTGCTATAGTGGGGGAGGGGGAGGCACTGCAACTTCCCTGTACAAATGAAAGCTCAGGTTTAGTTTATTTAAAAAGTAATAGCATCAACAACAATGTCACTGTTTAGTCAATTAGTCATGTCTGACTCTTCATGACCCCATTTGGATTTTTCTTGGCAAACATACTGGAGGGGTTTGCCATTTCCTTCTCCAGCTCATGTTACAGTTGTAAAAACTGAGGTAAACAGGGTAAAGTGATTTTCCCAGGGTCACACAGCCAGTAAGTGTCTGTGGCCAGATTTGAACTTGGATTCTCCTGACTCCAGGCCCGGTGCTGTATCCACTGCACTATCTAACTGCCCTGTAACAACAACAAATTGGTCCACAAAAATCCTCTACTGATTCCTCATTCTGGCATAGAGCTGAGCCTAGGTCCTCAAAAGTGATGCAAGAGGAATACAAACTATGCTGTGTATAACCAAGCTAGAAAGTTTTCAAGTTCAGATCCACTAAAAGACTGCATTTCTGTCACCCAAGGCCAGCCTAGAGGAAGGACTCATCACCAGGCTGGCTATAGGTTAGGGAAGGTTCGGGCCACAGCAGTTTCCAAATGGTGTCATCTAACTTGTAGGGGGTCAGCCAGCCACAGCAGTAAGAGAATGCCCACATAGTCGCTCAAAAAAGTATTTATTAAGTGCTAACAGTGTACCAAGAACTGTGCTGAGGATGCAAAGAAAGGTAAACACAAAGTCCCTACCCTCAAGGAACTCACTTTCTAAAGGGAGAGATAACATGCAGACAACTCTGTATATACCAGATATGTACCGGGTTAATGAAAGATAATCTCTTTTTTCAAAATGTATTTTTTTACTTTCATTTTTTAAAGTTTTGAGTTCTCAGTTCTCACCCTTCCTCCAGTCTCTCCCTACTCATTGAGAAAGCAAGCAATATATCAGTTATACATGTGAAATCATGAAGAACATATTTCTGTATTAGCCATGTTACAAAAATGAGCAAACAAGAACAATAAAGGAAATGAAAAAAGTAAGCTTCAGTCTGTACTCAGAGTTCATCAGTTCTCTGCCCGGAAGCAGATGGCATCTTTTGTCAAAAGTCCTTTGGAATTGTTGGGTCATTGTATTGCTCAGAGTAGCAAAGTCTTTCACAGTTGATCATCATAATGTTGCTGTTGCTGTGTACAGTGTTCTTCTGGTTCTGCTCACTTCACTTTATCCGTTCATATGAAGTTTCCTAAAATCATCCCCTTCGTCATTTCTTATAGCATAATAGTATTCTATTATGATCATAGACCACAACTAGTTCAGCCATTCCCCAACTGATGGGCATCCCCTCAATTTCCAATTCTTTGAATAGAAGGTAATCCCAAAGGGCTTATCTCACTAGCAGCTGGGGATGGGGAAAAAAATAGGAAAGACCTCCTACAGAAGGCAGGATTTTGAGCTGAGTCTTGAAGGAAGCCTGAGAAGACAGAGATGAGGATAGAGAGCATTCCAGGCATGGGGGACAGCAAGTGCAAATGCACAGAATCCAGAGATGGAGTGTCATGCAGGATACTCAGCTAAGAGCATTGATGGGGTGCCAAGAGGCAGAGGCTCATATGGGCTATACTCAGGCTAGACCATCAGCTCAATAGATACAACCATAGATCCTTGAAGTATTGATATATCAGTGCACTGTTTGGGGTGGTTCATCTGTTGTCCCTCGTTCCTATTGCGTGAATTAGATATAATGATAATAGACATGGTACTTATGGAGCATTTTGTGTGCATGTGTGTATATGCACACATACACATATACATATACACATGTATACATATGTGTATATATATATACATATATTCTTATTACCATTCCCATTTTACTGTTTAGGGAAATCAAGGCTCAGAGAGGTAAAATGACAATAACTTTGTTCTGTTCTTTTCCCCCCTCCTTTTAGTAAATGAATGGCTGCTCAAATGAAAAACCAGGCCCAGATGAATTCCATCTCAGTGAAATGCTACAACTGTGAATCGACGTAACCTAGAATGCTCCCCTTTCTTTCCCTTTCCCTTCTCCTTCCCTGCCCCAAGCTTCATTCATTCTCTGGACTGGTCCTTCCTACATGACAATAGCTACAAGCCTGTGGCACAGGAAAGACTCAGACACACATAGACACACACCCGCATACATAAATCAAACACACACAAAAGCTGCCATGATGGGAAGTCAAGTTGTTTTTTAAAAAAAAAAAAAGGTAATTCATAAGAGATCTGTCTTAGAAGATAATAACTTCAGTAAATGTGATTACAATTTTGATACCTTTTTTCCTGAACTAACAAAACCACGCGGTGAGACTTTTCAGCCTTTGTACATATGAAATCTTCCCCCCAAAAAAAAGAGAGAGAGAGAAGAAACATATGGCTTCTCCAGGATCAGATGGACTTTGCTCTATGTATCAAGTAACCCCCGGAAAGCTGCCCTAGCATCCTCTACCTAACGGTGGCTGGCGAGTCAGGACAAAGAAGGTGGTTGATGAAACTAATTTCTAGGTTATGATCCTTCTGTTTATTTACTTTAAAAAAAGTTTTAACTGACAACCGTTGGGCGATAGCATTGTAAATATAACACTGCAGACTATAAAGAAATTGAATTCTTTCCCTCTTTGTCACATATCTGTAGTAGGATTTGCCAAGATCAGAATTGATTCATTTTCTGTTCCTTGTTTTCCAAAGGTCATTCATTGTGTTTGGTTACTGTTAACAACTCAATAAATGTGTTTAACGAGTTAATTGAGTACCCTGGTTTGTTTTATTCTTCTTCCTTCTCTGGGGTGAGCCTGCAACTCCAGCTAGACTTCTGTCCTTGTTCCTTCATCTCTTTTCTTATTTCTCAACTCAAGCAAATTCAACAGACATTTATGCAGACACTTTTATTGAGTTAATCACAATCAGGAAGGCACTTGACCAAATGCAGATAACTTCAGTTCAGCTTTATGACCCATCAATGAATGAGAACTAAGCATCAAAACAAGAAGGCAAGTAGGTCTCTTTTGTTTAACACTGCTATTCAACTATGCTCTGGGAAGGCCCACACTTTACCCTATATGTCCCTGAAGACATGGTATATTTTCTCAGCAAATGCAGCAGAATCAGACACTATCCAAACAAATGCTCTTCTTGTTCTAATGGTCACTCCCTATGTTAGGTTGCTGTCAAGAAATCAATAAATGTGTTTAATGAGTCACCCAGTGGCCATGTCTGCGCTTATTATGGGGTGGTGAAGTGCCTAGACAGTCCATTCTCGGCCCTGTTGGGCCCACTGACAAGATAACAGCTAAATAATCAGAATAGACTCATTCCCAGAGTTAGTTACTTAATACCTTATTGAAAAGGCTTATCTGTTTAATTATTGAAAGAAATAACATGGGGAACTTTGTAAGCAAATCCAAAGTTACCTTCCTTTCTCCCCTTTCTGTCTTGATTTTTCAGAGTAAAGGTTAGCAGATGAACAACGTCCTTGTGGGATGAGATAGTTGAAAAATCCAGTCAAATACCTAGAGGTGCTGTTCATATAATGCCAAATATTCAGATCACAGAATATAGTAACTTAAAAGAGATCTTAGAGGGGCAGCTGGGTGGTGCAGTGGATAGAGCTGTGGCCTTGGAATCAGGAGGACATGAGTTCAAATCCAGTCTCAGACACATGACACTTACTAGCTGTGTGACCCTGGGTGAGTCACTTAACCCCGAATGCCTCACAAAAAAAAAAAGAAAGAAAAGAAAAAAAGATCTCAGAGATCCAATTTCATCAAATTACAGATGGGAAAATTGAGATGCAGTGGAGGATTATAAAGCCAGATCAGGTCTCCTGACCCAGGGCTCATTTCACTAAATCCTGCTATGTCCAAGACAATTCAGTAATAATTTTTTAAGCACCTACTCTGTGCAAAGCTGAAGATACAAACACAAAAACGAAACACAGCCTAGAAGCAAAGAGAAACTCAGAGTCTCCAACCTGGAACTGTTAATTAACAACAGAATTTCATCTTAGCCAAAGAGAAGTAACTAGATGGGACTAGTTTCATAATCAAAAAGAGTAGGGGAATCCAAGGCACTGTCTTTAACCTTCTGGGCAAAGCCAACCCCAAGGTAACCTTTGTTAACCTGCAAAATGGGGCTACCACCATATTGCCCTCAAGCTACATTATAGGGAGAGACTTATAATGGAGAGAATCCTGAACTATGAAAAAAAGATGTGAGTTTTAAAGGAAACTTGGCAGAATGGATAGGCTGCTGAGCTCAGAATCAGAAGGACTCAAATTCAAATACCAGCTCTGTTACTTACAACCTGTGTGACCTTCAGCAAATCACTGAAGCCTCAGTTTCCTCATCAGTAAAATGAAATGGCTAGATAAAGTAACCTCTAAGGTCCCTTCCAGCTCTAGAGCTTTCTAGACAAAGTCCAGCATAGACCTTCTATGATCCCAATTCTACCTCTGCCTAGCCGTATGACCTTATGAATACCTCTTCACTTCTATGGCTTCTGTTTCCCACTCGATAAAATAAGGAGGTTGGACAAGGGCTGTGAAGGTCCTATCTAACATGAAAATCCTATGAGTGAGGAACTACAATACTTTCTTTAAAAAAAATTCTCTTGATCTCTTGTTTATACATTACCTTCATTTCCAAAAATATCCCTCCTCCCTCCCCTACCCAACAATCCATCCCTTCCAGCAAAGAAGAGGAAAAAAGGCAATTCGACAAAATTAACCATAAATACATCAACCAAATCTGACAACAGATGCAATGTTTCACACCCCTACAAACGAACAAACAAAAAAGAGAAATGTGCATTTTTTCAATGTCTCTTTGGGGACATCTAGTTATTTTAATAGTTTACTCGTTTTAGTTACAAATAATTTGGAGATGGGTTTGGGGTTTTTTTTGGGGGGGAGGCTGTTCTTTCCACTTATGTTCTTATTGTCCCTATGTATATTGTTTTCAGAGTCCTGTTGACTTCACTGGATATCTGCTCCTATCTTCCCAAGCTTCTCTGAATTCTTCATAGTCATTATTTCTTACTGCCCCATAATACTCCATTATATTCATGTACCTAAATTTGTTTTGTCATTTCCTAAACATTCCAGATGATTAAAGTACCATTTTTGTTGTTCTTGGCAAAGATACTGAAGTAATTTGCCATTTCCTCCTCCAGCTTATTTTACAGATGAGGAAATTGAGGCAAACAGGGTTAAGTGATTTGCCCAGGGTCACACAGCCGGTAAGTGTCTGAGGTCAGATTTGAACTCTGGTCTTCCTGACTTCAGGCCTAGCGTTTGCCCCCACTGCACCACCTAGCTCTGCTATGGTATGGGACTTTATTCCAAATTTTCACAACTCACTAAAACACTATGTATGTGGCCTAGGTTATAGATATCATCTGGATCAAATTTGCCGTTAGACAGTGACAGCTGTCAGATACTGAGAGTAAGATGTTATCAGAGATCCTGTCAGCTTTGGGGTGGATGGACATGGCTGTGATACATCCCTCCAAAAAAGAAGCACAGTGTTCCCTCTATCCTTCTTCTTCCTCTCTTCCCCCTTCCTCTCTCATCCACAGGGCAGGATTGGTCCCTGTTTAGTTCTTCTGCTACAGTAGTCTGGTTACTATGGTGACATCAGACCAAACTCAGCAAGGCCCACAAAGTCACTTAGACAAAGTGAGTCTATTTGGCAAGTGACAAGGAACCACAGGAAGCTAGAAGGGTGTTTGGGCAGGACAGAAGAGCTTAGCCACAGGGAACAGATGCCTAATTAATGAAGACATGCCAATTGTCTTGAATTAAAATTTACTGAGTACTTGTGGCCTACATCAGTACAATGCTGAATCTAAAGAGCACCACAAATGGTTGCTGGAGTGGGGGATGGAGGCTACAAAGGAACATGTCTCAACATTATTCGCTTTAGAGTAGCTTTCAACACAAGATGGGTCCCTATTGGACCACCTCCAAGTGGGGTTAATTACAGAAATTCTGAGTGATCTCACCTATAGAGGAGATTCCCCAGGGTGGGCTCTGAGGATGGCATTGTATGCAAATATATACATTGCATTATAAAATTCCCACCCAACCCTCTGCCACTCCCACATAGACTAGCTGGCTCAGAGCATCTCCACCCCCATGTCAACACAGAGTTGTGAAGGAGACAGACCCTTTCACTGCCATCCAAAAGTTCAATGCATTTGGCAGTTTAAGCCAGGATGTAGAATTTACCCTTCTCACCTCTATCTCAGATCATTTAGCCTACTTTTCAAGTGTACAAACTTGGCAAAGCTTGACTCTGTTAGGAAGGGAAGAAAGGAGACAGAGACATAGAAATGGAGAGAAGGGAAGGAAAGAAAGGAGAAAGAGAGGGAAGGAAATAGGGAAGAAGGAATAGAGGAAAACAGCCTGAAGATTATGGTACTAATATTGGGGACAAAATGACTGAGAGCTAAATGATCAGATTCTGGCAATTAGAAATCATGAAAATAAGGCCCTATTTACCTGCAAGGTCAAAAGTCAGGCCAAGCTATTTTGGGTATCAGCTAAAGATAGACTAGGCACATCCTTTCTGTGGACCACCCATCAATCAGTCAGTCTGTCAATAATTATTCACTAAGTACTAATTATATGTCAGGAGATACAAAGTGCTAAATTCTGGAGATGCAAAAGAACCCTCAAAGAGATCACATTGCAAACGGGGATAACATATAAATAACTGTGAACATTCGAGATATAGAAAGAGGCTAAATGGGAAGTCATCTCAGAGGGATGGCACTAGGATTAACTTCTTACAAAAGGTGGCTTTGATCTGTCTTGAAAAGCCAGGGGAACTAGGAATTACTTTCTTCTCCAAAACAAGTTTCATTCGAGAGTTTTTGAACCTCTCTTTCCCCCTTCCTCTCTCACCCATAGCCTACTATGTTAGTTATTTGCTGTGTGTTATTTCCATCTTCCATCCCAAACTAGACTGTGAGCTTAGGAGGCAGGGACCAGGTTTAATTCATCTCTTACACCCTCGGTGTTCAAGGACATTGACAAGGTAAGAAAGGAAAGTATTGAAGGCAAAGCGAAGAGACAGTTGGGAGACAGGGGGTCCACTCACACAGCCTCATCTCCCTTTTCAGATTCTTCAGTTCTAAAACCTCTTTCTCAGGGTTGTTGTGAGGCCCATACAAGATATTCGTAAAGCACCTCACACAATGCCTGGCACATAGTAACAAATGCTCCTTACCTTTCTTCTTTCTTCCCTTCCCTCAGTATCTTCCTTCCTTCTCTCCCTCCCTCCCTTCCTTCCTCCTTTCCTTCTCTCCCTTCTTCCCACCTTCCTTCCTTCCCTCCCACTTTCTTCCCTCCCCCTCCCTCCCTTCCTTCTCTTCTCTCCTCCCTTCCTTCTCTTCTTCTCTCCCTCCCTCCTTCTTTCCTTTCTTCCATTCTTCCCTCCTCCCCTCCTTCTCTTGTAGAAGCCAGCCTTACATCTTGCTAATACCACACCTCGCCTCAAACACTCTCCTCTTTCCAACTTTCCCATTACTATTGATGACACCACCTCTCCTCCCAGTCACCCAAGCTTGCAACCTCAGTGTCATCCTCCACTCCTTGCATTCTCCCCACATATCGAGTCTTGTGGTTTCTTCCTTTATGTTTTGAGTAATTGCTGCCCCTGGGCCACACAAATCACCTCAGTTTCCCAAGTAGTGCATTTCTTACAAGGTCATCTTGCCCTCCCCCAACCATAACAGGGATGTGGGTC